TTCTTTCATTTACAGTTCCAAGAAATCTTAATGAAACAAAGCATCATTACCCAAGTTCAGCAGTGTCAAACTCGAGTCTTTCCTGTGTCATGTTAGTTCAATTCAATCTACGTGTAACAGAAACAACGAGGTGATTTATGATTTAGTTTAATTTCATTAGTCACAATGAATATTTTTTGGATCAGGGTGTCTATTTATTATTACTTCTAAATTACCCCTTGTGTGCAAGGAAAGGCCGGGGTTACCATCAACTGGCGGAGCGGGATTAGAACGCAGGTCAAGATTGCTGGACGAGAAAAATACCACTGCACTACAGAGTAGTAGTACATGAAGGGAGATTTTGTTACTTTAAAAGACATGATTTTGGTCTATGTTTTAAGATTCGATTAATAATACAATTTGAGTCGCATCCAATCCACATTAATTGAAAATCGCTTCTAGAATGAGAAGCTTATTTTCTCATATTATTTACACTAGATGAAGGTATACTTAGACAAACAAGTTCGTTATAGTTTTCTATTCATCCTTCATTGCCTGCATCTTATATGAGTAAATGAATATGCACTTACATAGAAGTACCGATCTCCATTGACATTTGTCATAAATAGAAAGACAAAAACAACAGATTGTCCATGTAGTAGGATACTCAGCATATAATGCAGCTAACCTTCAGCCCATTCAAACATATGAAATTTATTATACCTTCTAATCCTTGCCATTGCCTTCTTTCTGGTTTGAATTCCTAATATTTAGATAAATATTACGCGGCATTTGTTTACCAAAGTATTTATTCAAGTGGTTTTGCCATTCAGATTATAAAAATGCCGTAAAACCTGTTTACATGATTATGAAACAAAATGCTCATCCTTGTATTTGTCAGAGATATTTCTCAAATACAAATTCTCAAGAAATATTTTGGGTCATGCAGTTGATCAGATAACCAATTATTCACCATTTTTTTTCAATAGTATTTCTATTTAAATTATCAGTAAACATTTCCTAAATCTTGAATGACTTGATTTTGTGTTTATTTCTCGTTTTCCTGCAATCCTCGAGGGTCACTTTCCCTCCACCACCTGCGCCCCAAAACATCCCTTTGAAACCCTCTACTTAAGGGCACCTCAAGTTAAACAATAGATGGTCCTATAAGCGATGCATATAACAGTAAATCTCAAAATTCTATCCCGGATTTAGAACATTTTATTTATCGCAACGAAAGGTCGAAAATAGAAAGGAAGGATAGCCACGCCCCTTCCAAATGGTCATGTTCCCCGGGTATTTAAACCGCAGCCATACCCATGGGCATCAGACAGCTCCTTGGTGGTGGGTCAACATGAATGCTCTGGTGTTCAAGGTAGTCCAGGTAGAATATGGGGACTCATATTTTGTTTGTATATTAAGGTTGTTGAATGAAATCTTTGTTTCTGGATTTTCATTACACGATAACGTGCTATGTAATGGAAATGTTCCATTTCAGACTGTGATTTTCGGTGGTGGCCTCGTGGCTACGT